GTTCTATTTTAGTCGAAAACTAAAGATGTTTGTTCAGATGTGTACTTAAATGTGCACTTTTGATGTGCATTAGAGAAAAGTTCGTAAGGACCTTTAACCTCTTTCTTCAAGAATATTAGCCCACACACAAAGTGTGTGAGAAATTTTTTTATTTTTGTTTTTGAAATAGAATGAGAGAGGAAGAGAGTAATAGAGAATGTGGGAGTGGGAAGGTTTATTTTATTTTTTTATATTATTATTAAATTAGATATATGTTATGATTACATGTAGGTGAGGCTTTGAAAAAAAAAACAACAAAATTTGATTGTGTGAAATTACATTTCTGCTCCATATTTCTTATTCATGTTTTGTTTTAATTAGAAGGTTAAACTGATAATTTCATAGAATTTTAGTTAATAATGAGTGTTTTATTGATTAGTAGAGATTCTTTTAAGGCGCCTTCGACACGACACTCCTCAACCATTGTTCCAGCCGCCCTCAAGACCACATGAGCAACGCCGGACCCATTACAAATCTAAAATTCAAAAAAGAACAATTTATAGTAATTTTTATTCAAGCAAATAGGGGAGGGAGAAGAATCGAGCTTATAATATATAAATAATCTTAACCACTTGAACTAAAAGTTTTAATCAATTTTATTTATTTTTATATAACGAGATATTTATGCAAATAAATGAAAAAATAAATTGGTTTGAACTTTCAGTTTACGAGATTTGAACTGACCTTCCTATCATTGGGGGTTAAAGCATAAATCCATACACAAATATATTAAGCGGCATCATGTGCCATGAAATGGGAACTTGCTTAAGAGTAAGGCTTGAGATAAGTTGATCAAGGACTTGTTTGAATGCTTTTAAAATGATTGAAAACGTTTTTTATGAAGATGTTTTTGAAACCCATCATATGTAAAAATTGAATAAGATCCTGAAAAAACACTTTAAGTACTTCATACAAAAAACACATATTTTATGCTTCTTCTAAAAATTATTTAAATTATTTTCGAATCCCAAAAATTAATTTTACCAAAATGCTTTCAATTATTTTAAAATCACCACCGAACGAATTCTAACTTTGTCGAGTGGAAAACCCACCGCCCAAAACATATATATAAAACCCGAACGAGCATTTCACAAAATCCCAGATTTTCCAGCTAGAAACCTCACCAAACGAAAAGGCACAAAGAATCAAAAATCTAATCGTACAGAGAGAGAGCAAAAGCCATGGCTGCTTCGGACGAAACCCCGTCGGCTAAGAGATGGCTTCCTCTCGAAGCTAACCCTGATGTTATGAATCAGGTACTTCAATCAATCGCCTTCCTTTTCAAGAAAAAATTAAATTACCCGTATTTATTGCGTATTCTTCGGATTATGCTCTGTTTGTTTCCCGAGAAAATGCAGAGCTAGGGTTTGGTGCGAATTTGATGTGGAAAATGGAACGTTTTGATTCTTCTGGAAATTGAGTTCAAGTATGTGATTAAGCTTGTTTGGATTTGGTTAATAATTTGAAATGAATGTAAACCACTCACATAGAATCTGCTTAGTTGCTGTAGGGGAAATCAGTTGGCAAAGAGATGATAAAGTACGTATCGGTTTCGTTTATACCAAAATTTTTAGCGTTGGGGAGACCCAATTAGTGAATAATAACTAAACATTTGCTTTTGACAGAAAGCTAGACAGGAATTTGGTTTTCGAAACTAAAACGTAATGAGTAGCGACAATCATTTTGCACTGAAGAGAAGCGGAAAAATGTTTAGCCTATTCTTTCGTCATTTTGATTACATGTACTCTTGTTTGTATGTTATGTTGCAAATTAGATTTATAGTTTTCACAAAGGTGATATATTCAAGAAGAGCACCATTTGCACCATTTGCACCATTGACCTTTATAATGGTTTTACCTCATTGTGCAAAATACCAAATCAAATGAAAGAAACGTATTTGGTTATTGCAGTTCCTTTGGGGCCTGGGTCTTCAAGAGGATGAGGCAGAATGCTATGATGTTTACGGGTTGGATGGAGAACTCTTAGAAATGGTTCCGAATCCTGTACTTGCTGTCCTGTTTCTTTATCCTATAACCGCTAAGGTTTTGTCTCTTTCCTTGAAATACAAATTAATAATTCTGAACTTTGTGGTTGGTGTGGAACTTAAGTTTTCTGCATCTGTCTTTCTTTTGGACAATATGAAATTTGGTTGTCTCCTGATTTGAGGGATGTTTCTGTACTTTTCAGACTGAAGAAGAGAGAATGATGCAGGCAAATGAAAAACAGGTGAGTGATAGGAAATTTGATTGAATGCTCTGTATAAAATGAAAGCCTTTTATTTTTGAGCGGGTTGTTGAACTTGTGATCTCTCTGTGCATATATGTGGATGGCGTGCATGTGCATATTCATGCGATGATAGTAACTTTTGAGAGATCAGTTCTGTATTGAAATTTATGTTCACATTCAACCATGTTTTATGTTTTCATACCTTGCTCACTTATTTTCGATTGTGTTAATTCGTTTTATTTACTTCTTGCATACTTGTTTTTTTGCTTGGTGTTTCTAATGATTTACTGATCTAAAGAGAATTTTGTATTCAAATACATTATGACTTGATTTGATTTGAAGTGGTATGATTTAATTAGAATGATTTGGAATGCATATCCTGGCTGTAGGAACCCAAAGGTAATGTTTATTTTATGAAACAAACTGTGGGCAATGCTTGTGGAACAATTGGACTTCTTCATGCTGTTGGAAACATCACTTCAGAGATCAAACTTGGTAAGTTGTTTACTGTTTTCCTGTTATGGGTGAATTCTGATTAGAGTTATTCATGGCAGCCTTGCGTTCTCCATACTTGCGGGTGTATGTATTACACACAAGTATTAATCACTGCTAGTGATTTAGAGTGCCGTGTTTTTTGAGTGGCTGCTAGCAAATCTTGGTTTCTTTTGGATTCTCCCCCCTTGACCAGGAAAAGAGTGTGTGTGTGTGTGTGAGAGAGAGAGAGAGAGAAAGAGAGAGGTTTGTTGAAATTTCTTTGGGGCCAATGGTTCCTTTAACTTTTTTTTCTCTCATATTCCTCTTTCTCTTACCTAACAATGTTTGATCACCCTGCTTCTGAAAATGCCAAACAATTGCAGGAACAATCGGATCAATAGAAGTAAAATGATAATTAAGAATATAGAATGCCTGGGGAAAAAGCATACCATTGGAAAGGAGCTTCTTGGTTATTACCACCAAAGTGTATGCTATTCTAGTTTCTAACTAGGACAGTGCATGTTTGTGGACCACCTAGCCGTGGAAATTAGGGATACAGAATTGTGAAACTAGAGAATTCTAGATACCAAAACTGTTCCCTTAAGTAACTCCTTTGGAGGAATTGAAGCTTGATTTTGTTCAAGTACGCAACCTTGGAAAGCATGCTTCCCTGTAGAAGCCAAAATTAATGATTATTTTTCTTTCTGACAATTGCTTACTAGTTATTAATAAATGTTTACCACAGTTATTTTTTCCATGTTATCCTCTTTTTCTTTTCAGTTGAGGATTCGTTCTTGGATAGGTTTTTCAAAAAAACTGCAAGCATGGATCCATTGCAGGTTCTATTTTCTTTTCCCTCATATTTTGTCCTTTCAGCTTGACCAATTCATATAGATTCATATTATTCTTCTTGCCTCTTATTGTCATCTATTTGTCATACAAATGTAGCGTGCAGCATTCCTTGAAAGTGACACAGAAGTGGAAGTTGCTCATTCTGTAGCAGCCAATGGTGGCGATACAGAGGTGATATATTTTAAGTAGCATAGAATATTATGTAAAGTACCAATCTCTGCACTTTCCTCTGTTTGGTTCATATGGTTTGTGCTTCACATGTCTTACTCTGTTTCTTTCTAGGCGTCCGACAATGCAGACACTCACTTTATTTGCTTTGCATGCGCGGACGGTGAGTGCTTATTCTATATCTGTTCAGAGATGGTTCTTGATTTTTTTTACCCTACTGCACGGTTTGTGATTTTGATCTTTTGTTTAATTTGTAGGGGAACTTTATGAGCTTGATGGGAGGAAGTCAGGCCCAATCTCTCATGGTCCATCTTCACCAAACAGTCTATTGCAGGTATTTAAGATGTCATTGTGCTCTCTGATTCAAAATTAGAGGAAGAACACACAATCAATGCCTAAACATATCAAAAGTTAAACTGTCAATTTAGTAACCGTTTCTTTTTTTGGGTCAAGTAAAGAGAGGGAAGAAGCATAATATCCTCAAGATTAAATGGATGAAGTTTCGGGGGGAGAGAGGAAACTATAACTAAAACTGTTTTGAACTGATTTAAAGTTAACGTGTCTATGTTTTGGAAAAGTCAATCATAATAGTTCAATTAGCTATTCTCATGTTTATTTTGGCTCATTTCAAGTGGGAACGTGTTGGCCTTTACCCGAGTCTTTATGTACAGTTTGCAGCCCTTCATCGCCCATCTGATAACTTTTTAATTGCATAACAGGATGCAGCTAAAGTCATACAGGGCATGATCCAGAAAAATCCCGACTCCCTCAACTTCAATGTGATTGCAATTTCGAAGAAATCTGGTGGGTTTTCTTAAGTTGGAATGCATCCATGTCCTTCATAAGCGGTCAAAAGTGCAGTGGTAGCACTTGATGTACGCATCTTTATCCTTTTCCCGGTTTAACATGTGTGCTGGCATCTTTAGCATAAGCTTACTCAACTTGCGTTAAACTTGTTGTAAACTTTTCTGATTATAACGTTGGTGTGCATTGAACAAGCCTGTTGGAATATGAATAGAGTTCTGTTTTTGCTTTAATCATGTAGTGCTAATGATCCCGGAAAAAGAAACAAGTGTGTATGATAGATGGATTGGAATTTTGAAACCAAAACCAAACTGATTTCCAACTTAGTTCCATAAGAGTGTCAAATGAGTATGTTTGATTGTTAGGCGTGAAATATGTCTATTGCAACGTTGTGATGGCATGCTAGATTATTAGGTTTTATGATCATTTGCACGGCGTGCTCAGCATATTTCGAATGTATTACCACATAGAAAACGGCATAGAAAACTGATCCTCACAGATTGGTATGGAACTCACACAAATAAGAGCTGACAGTGAACAAGGATTACATAGTAGTTGTTTCTTGGCCATGAAGCAACCATTGCCGCGTTAATATCTGTTTGATGATATCATTGTGCACCCTGTGTATCGTTGCTGATGAGCTTCCTAGGCCGCTCTTCGTGTCAGTTCTTGATGCTTCTAACCCCGCTCGCCAATGTTGAAGCCAGCTGATCCAGTTTGTCAGCACCAACCGGGTGCTGTCCTGTCACATAGTTGTAAACCCAGTAAAACACCATCGCCGCTGTTGCGCCAAGCCCTCCCGACATAACAAGCCCAGTATTCAGCAGAAGCATTGCAACTCCGGCTGGTACCAACACCGGGCTGAAGATCACCAGCAACGGTGTTGCTGCCACCAAACCGATAACAACGGCAGTGAGTGTCAAACTGGAGAGGACGGAGAGGGACCCGGAAAAGGTTATGGCAGTGGAGGCCTTGGCCAATTGATAGGAGAGGTTTTCTGGATTTCGAGCCATTGATGATACTCTATCGTTTCTTTGAGGAGCTTGCTGGTTGGGAGGGAAGGGCGTATATGAAGGGTGGTGAGTCACGTGAGGAGAGGCGTATGTCACGTGCTTCGTGTTTATCTTCAGAACATTTGCATGTGAAGAAGTATGCGTTTGCTCGACACCTATACTACCCTACAATTCCATTGTTATGTTTATCCGGTTTCTGGGAGAAGATGTTTCTCTCTGTTTTGGAAGGCAGCACAAGTTGGGTGGTTACATCTGCATTTTCTATGGCAGCACTTGCCATCATCCGTGGACCCACCGAGCTCGACGATCCAAGCGTTGGTAGATTAGATCGTTGTCGTCGGAAGAACATTGCTTGGCTCCTTCCTTTTAAGGAAAAATTCATCCTTCTATGTAAATCACAAAGTCTTGACATGCATATACAAGTTGATTATGCACGCGTGAAATTGTGATTTGTTTAGAATTGATGATAACGGCCTCTGAAGACTCGTAAACAAGCTTGATATTCACATAAATGTGGAATCTTATTGACACACTCCGACCCCACGTTGACTATGAGTTAGACTTCGTTGGCCGATACTGTGTGGTGACGAAGCCATAAATAAGGTAATTGGTACGTGACAATTAAAATGTTCAGGTTCAATTTTACTAAAAATTTGAAGAATCTCCCCTACAAATACAATAATTCAAAATAAATCTTGCAAGTAAACGCAATTAAAACTCAACTTCCCCGACGGTCATACCAAGGTTTCAACCCTTTTATTCCATGTCACATAAGTTCAGAATTAGTCAAGCAACAATATAAGCAAGTAATCATGTGATGTGCAAGTATAACCGTAAATTTGGTTATTTATTAATGCAACTAACTAAAAAGACAGATATCACTACGTAGGAGAGATGTACTATTGCCAAGCTCACTCACCGTCACAAGCTGCTACTTTCATCCTACTAGGTCCTTATGGGCGAAAAACAAAGTGTGAACGGATCACATCAATTATCAAGTTAAAATTCTTTTATAACATACTAACCCCTGTTTTAGAAAGACCTATAAACTAGTATCTATTACATTTACATATATAAGTTGAAAAATACATGTCAGTCACAATAAAAAATCATACACGAGGAACTGCAATACATTTCTACTAACTATCTACTAACTATCTATCACACTAGCATCTACTAGTGAATCTAGCATCTTTTAGAAAATATAACACATGCAAACATCCAATGGCTGAAGCTAAACTATCCTCCATGTATAATGGTGAAAATAAATCACAATATAAACACATATCATTTAAATGTCATCTAATCATTGCAACCTAAAATTTAGTCTCATCTAAGACCAATATCAAGGCATGCTTGTGATACGGATTTTTACTACCTACAAATGTAGGGATAAAAACACTTAAAAATACTTGTAAGAGTACAAGGTTATCGTAGTATAGTAGCTTAAGCAAGATCATTTTCCGTGGGGATTATTTAAATCAATTTATGCAAAACCAAAATCTTAGTTAATTATTTGAAACAAAGATTGGAAAAAGTTGATTTTGAATTTAAAAATAATAAAAACGAATTTAATTAAAATGATTAAAGAAATTAGCAAAGTAAAGAAAACAAAGGAAAACGTTTTGAAAACCAAATTGTAAATGCCTAAGGTTCCGTCATCCCCTTAACAATCCTATGTAGATTTACCAATTACTTATGAATTACCCATGCAACTTTGAATGTTAGGTTTTCCTAATGCATATTCTACTCGTGGTATTCAAGGTAGAACATATATCAAACATGCAATCCGTCTGTGGTATTCACATCAAATATAAACATGTATGACTCATTATGATTTGTGAAAACCCTCGAAAAACCATGCAATCCCTAAGACCCCTAGGTGAAATTACAACTATCAATCACAAGAAGCAATACTCAATCCTCAGGTGGTATTCTGACCGAATTGCATCCAATTTGTAACATCCCACATCGCCCAGGGGAGTGATCCTTAAATTTATATTCACATCCCTACCTAGCACGAGGCTTTTTGGGAGCTCACTGGCTTCGGGTTTCGTAGGAACTCCGAAGTTAAGCGAGAAGTAGGCTAGAGCACTCCCAGAATAGGTGACCCACTTGGAAGTTACTTGTGAGTTCCCAAAAAAAAAAACCGTGAGGGAATGGTAAGCCCAAAACAAACAATATCGTGCTACGGTGGTAGAGCGGGCCCGAAATGTGGTGGACCCGGGCCAAGATGTGACAAATGGTATTAGAGCCAATCCTTGGTCAGAAGTGTGCCGACGAAGACGTCGGGCCCCTAAGGGGGGGTGGATTGTAACATCTCACATCACCCAAGGGAGTGATCCTTAAATTTATATTCACATCCTTACCTAGCATGAGGCTTTTTGGGAGCTCACTGGCTTCGGGTTCCGTAGGAACTCCGAAGTTAAGCGAGAAGGAGGCCAGTGCACTCCCAAGATGGGTGACCCACTGGGAAGTTACTCGTGAGTTCCCAAAAAAAAAACCATGAGGGAATGGTAAGCCCAAAACTGACAATATTGTTCTACGGTGGTAGAGCAGGCCTAGAATGTGGTGGACTCGGGCCGGGATGTGACAAATGGAATCAAAGCCAATCCATGGCCGGAAGTGCGTCGACGAGAACGTCGGGCCCCTAAGGGGGTGGATTGTAAAACATCGCCCAAGGGAGTGATCTTTAAATGTATATTTCCATCCCTACCTAACACAAGGCCTTTTGGGAGCTCGCTGGCATCAGGTTCTATCGGAACTCCGAAGTTAAGCGAGAAGGTGGCCAAAGCACTCACATGATGGGTGACCCACTAGGAAGTTGCTCGTGAGCTTCCAGAAACAAAACCGTGAGGGCGTGGTTGGGTCCCAAAGCGGACAATATCGTGTTACGGTGGTAGAGTGTGCCCGGGATGTGGTGGACCTAGGCCGGGATGTAACATATGGTATCAGAGCCAATCCTTGGCCGGAAGTGTGCCGATGAGGACGTCGAGCCCCTAATGGGGTGGATTGTAAAATCCCACATCGCCCAGGGGAGTGATCTTTAAATTTATATTCACATCCCTACCTAGAACGAGGCCTTTTGGGAGCTCACTGGCTTCGGGTTCTGTAGGAACTCCGAAGTAAAGTGAAAAGGAGGCCAGAGTACTCCCAGGATAGGTGACCTATTGGGAAGTTGCTCGTGAGTTCCCAAAAAAAAATCGTGAGGGAATGGTAAGCCAAAAGCGGATAATATCGTGCTACGGTGGTAGAGCGGGCCCGGGATGTGGTAGACCCGGGCTGGGATGTCACCACGAGCAACTTCTTAGTGGGTCACCCATCTTGGGAGTGCTCTGGCCTCATTCTCGCTTAACTTCGGAGTTCATACGGAACCCGAAGCTAGTGAGCCAATCCCAAAAGGCCTCGTGCTAGGTAGGGATGTGAATATAAATTTAAGGATCACTCCTCTTGGTAATGTGAGATGTTACAATCCACCCTCTTGTCCTCGTCGATACACTTCCGGTCAGAGATTGGCTCTCATACCATTTGTCATATCCTGGCCCGGGTCCACCATATCCCGGGCCTGCTCTACCACCGTAGCACGATATTGTCTGCTTTGGGCCCCGACCACGCCCTCACGGTTTTGTTTCTGGGAGGTCACGAGCAACTTCCTAGTGGGTCACCCATCATGGGAGTGCTCTGGCCACCTTCTCGCTTAACTTCGGAGTTCCGACGGAACCCGATGCCAGTAAGCTCCCAAAAAGCCTCGTGCTAGGTAGGGATGGGAATATACATTTAAGATGATCACTCCCCTGGGCGATGTGGGATGTTACAATACATTTGTCATATCCCGGCCCGGGCCTACCACATCATCGGCTCGTTCCACCATCGTAGTACGATATTGTCCGCTTTGAGCTTACCATTCCTTCACGGTTTTGTTTTTGGGAAGTCACGAGCGACTTCCCAGTGGGTCACCCATTATAGGAGTGCTCTGATGTCCTTATCGCTCAACTTCGGAGTTCTTACGGAACCCGAAGCCAGTGAGCTCCCGAAAGGCCTTGTGCTAGGTAGGGATATGAATATAAATTTAAGGATCACTCCACTGGGCGATGTGGGATGTTACAATCCACCCCCCTTAGGGGCCCAATGTCCTCGTCAGCAAGCTTCCGGCTAGGGATTGGCTCTGATACCATTTGTCACGTCCCAGCCCGGGCCCGGTCTACCACCGTAGCATGATATTGTCCACTTTGGGCTTATCATTCTCTCACGATTTTTTTTTGGGAAACTCACGAGCAACTTCCCAGTGGGTCACCCATCTTAAGAGTGCTCTGACCTTCTTCTCGCTTAACTTCGGAGTTCCTACGAAATCCGAAGCCATTGAGCTCTCAAAAGGCTTCGTGCTAGGTAGGGATGTGAATATAAATTTAAGGATCACTCCCTTGGGCGATGTGGGATGTTACACAATTACTTATCTAAACATCCTAATGGTAGCTAAGCATTAAGATATAGAGACAGTTTAAACACAGTGATTAATAATTCAAAGTATGCATGCATAATATCATAACCAATTAAATAAAAACTACATATTCATGCTAAGTGACACATCCTGACACTGATATTCCCTGAATACCAGGATAGACACGTGCTGGCAGACACCCGAGGGTGACGAAAGCCATTAATTGATACAAAAGCTAAGAATAAGAAATAAATAAGAGTTATGAATTTAAAATACAATGAATTAATAATTTAGAAACATGTTCAGAGCATACAACTAACTAGAGCTCTAAAAGAATTAATATAAAATTGAATAAATAAAAGGATGTGGGTCCTACACCGAGAGGACTCGAATATGCCATGCCTCGATTCTAAATCCTGAAAGGGGGTGCAAAATAAGGGTGAGTGGACCAAGTTCATATATATATATACACATAATACGAAAACAGTTATGAACATACTAACCCCTAGGTTTATATATAATGAAAACTACTAGTATAATAGTGATAGGTTTTTTGAAACTCTGGCATGCCATAAAACATCTCAACAGGTATAACGCGAAAAAACATCATATAAATCATCGCGTGTATTGTCTCGTAAGAGTGGTGTATTGCTAATAAGATCATTGAAATAATTATAACTCTCGGCCCTATGCTAGCACCGTGGTCTCTGCGCCCGTAGCCAAAGATTACTAACTCT